AAATGAAGAAGTACAATCCCATGAAACATTGCGAATGACAATCAAATTAAAAACAGAGAAATATAAAACTTGAAGTTAACACTGGTGATCTAAAAGCAATATATTGTAAGTTTATTGTGAAATATGCATGAAGAAATATTTAAGTATCCTGACAACATAGCTCAATTATGTCACTTGCCGCAACTCTTTTTATTAGTGAAGTTTTCTGTACAGCATTATGGGAAATGTAGTTTTTCACCATAAATTTGCCTGTTTAACCACGAGTATTTAAAAAAATACGCAAAAATAATGCCAACTGATGGCTTCAACAAAAGCATATACCATTGATTAACAACATTGCACTGTAGCTCACAAAAGGACCGTCTTTGATGGTTTGTATGTTACTGTTAAAAATCTATTTCCCTATAGAGAATATGAATGATTTTTACTTCTGGAACCTGACTGTCGCACTCTATTATTAATTAATCAATGGTTTTACAGTTCTTTTGGGTAGTGGTACAAAAATAGTTCACCTTAAAAAAGCTATTGATTATTTTTACAAAGTACAAACGTTGAGCAATAATAGGACATGCTGACGCTATATGAGACAAGCTGTATTTCAGAAAAAAAAAATAATACAAACACTAAAAGAGTTATTAAACAAACAAAAAAATTATTAAATCATAACATCAGCTATTGTAGCAGAACATAGTTTGCTCATCTGTGGTCTGTAGCTAATGGTAACAATGCTGCATTCAGTATATTTATAGAATGGTTGTCAAGCACACAGTTCAGTATTGCAAAGGATACGCCTTCTGTCTTACTGAGAAGGCATTCGGGTGGTGAAGGTCATTGTTCTTAGTCTACAAAGAGCCGGCGTGGAGCAGCTGAAACATAGATTCACCCTCTTCAACTATTAATTACTCAGGCAGTCATCCAGTAAGCTCCTTATCGCACACAGCTGCCACTTTCACCAGAGCTGTGCAGCATTAGCAACACTTCTGGATTTTAACCACAACTTCCCTGAGTCCTTCAGTTTGTTGTATTAGTGTTCTGTGATCAAATAAATGCAGCCTTCAAATGATGTTTATATATGTATATGTATGTATGTATATACTGTACATACAGTATATGATCAAATGTATGGATTTGATCATGCTAATGGCACAACAATCATTTAAAGCTCTTAATTTTTCAAAATATTCCAGGATGGATTCTGAATGTGACAATGTTCTTTTAAGGTTACCTAACTCAGTTATATGCGAAATCCAAAATTAATTTAGTTTTTGAATATTTGCATTTGCATATCCCATAGTGGCTCAGATGAGTTAAAATTTTAGAAAAATACGTTTTTGGCTTTAGAAAATTCTACAGAAAGTAGGTTCTAAAGTGAATAGATTATAGGCATCCAAAATAGTGCCATGTTTATTAAATATTCAAAAGAGCTGTAATAAACCACAGGGAGCAGAACACAAAATGAGCATTTGCTGTTATGCTTTAACCAGTGTAAAGGGTTTCTGCGACAGTGCAAAGTTAAGCCGCTTGAGAAATATGCAAATATCCTCCTGCTGTATTTAAAATGTAAACATCTTCGGTTAATAATATCACTGCTTCGCCTACCTACATTCCCTCTGTAATCCAAGAGCCACGTGATGCCTCGAGGACCCACATTTTTATCATTTTTTACTTTCCCAAACTTGTTAAAAATGCATGCTTGCATTATGCCACTTTATGGCTTTCTTAAATGAGAATAACTTTAGCTTTAACCATATTTAGGTCACTTAAGCTGTGTTTCCTCTCTCTCTCTCTCAGTGGAAATGTAAATCCTCCGAGTGGCTGATACCCTCCACTCTGATCATTTGCTGAGTGCTGTGCAATTCCCATTTGTTTGCCTTTCAGTGATTGCACATTAATTACTAGCCGCTAATCAATAGTTTTTGCTACCCGAGTAGTTCTTTGGTCACCATTAAACTGAAAGATTGCCAGCCTATAGTCATAACGGAAGCCGTCTGACGTGAATTATGACCCAAAACTCCATTTACTCTATGTAGCTTTACCTGCAGTATAAGGAGAGCGGTGATTAGCGCTTTAAATGCTGCCAGACATCTGAAAGACAGAAGCCTCGTCCCTGCGGTGATTGATGTGACTCATGTGGCTCTGAATGGCTTTGCTGTCACAGATAAAGGGCCACAGACCAGATCGAAGTGGACAGGCCAGTGTTACCCTCCGGCATCATCCTGTGTCGTTAGAGACTCACCTCAGCCGGTCTGACAGCCTCCCCTCCGGCCAGTCGACAAGTCAGGCCCATAAAGACACCTGCTTGGCAGATAGAGATGTGAGTGAACGGATCCCCTCAAAGGAAAGGGTATAGAAACAAGGGGTGACACCTTAATATCCAAAGCAGAAAATACGGCTCGAAATGTGCTTAAACTAGAGTTAAGGGACATAATGGATTTTACAAAGTGAATAAAAGCCGCTCCATCAATTGCCAGGAATGATTTTGTAGCAGAGGAAGTTTTGCTTGCCGTGGAGAACTAAAATAAAGGGAGTGCTGCCATCTAGTGGACAGTATATGACAAGCTCAGCAAAGCTAGGCTAGCAAGGTTAAAAAGTACAAAAGCTAAAATAAGATTAATATGGACAATAACGGAAAAAAGACATTAAACACAATATTAAGCCATTTTATCATTTTTTAAATGATCAAATGCTTCTTAGTTTTTATTAGATTTGATTCAGTGTGTAACCCACAAAAAATGAGTCCTTCAAAGCGTTAAACCATTATAATGATTATTTTACATTATGCTAAATAAAATAATCAAGAAGAAAAGAAAATAACAAGTAGAACGTTTAAAGTGATTTTTTTTACAGGAAAATATACAGTACATCTGGCAAATATGGAGTTGTTTAGTGTTGTATAAGTAGGAAAAGAAGTCAACATCTTATTTGTTATGATGATGTACACATAATGAATATTACACAATTGTTTCACTTAGGTTCACAAGTTTTTTTTTTTTTTACACCAGGCCTCCCAGGCAGTCCACACGAGCTGAACCAGCAGAGCTTGAAAGGGCTTCAAAAGCTTATTTACATCCTTGACAACAGTGCAATACTCCAAGCCTAAGGTAAAGTTGCTGCTCTGGCAGTGGCAATTACAGTAAATTGCATAAGGACATACAAGAATTAACAAAATACCCATATGGGTTAAACATTTTTTTTTGCCAAAATGTACTTTAAATATATGCTAAAAATATATGTTGTAAACAGTGAAGCTGTATAAATATATTTTTTAAAATTTAGAAATATATTTAGTTTCAATATTCATACTATGTCAAAATGTATTTCAGGGGCAAGAAAATATGTTTCCTGTCTTACAGTAGACTACTGTACATTTTGCCATTATTCATTATTTAAT